TATGCTTCATATTACATCTCCTTATTTTCATTTAAAAAACTAGGGTTGATTTAGAACTGGATACTTTATAATAACACTTGATGATCATTGAAGGCCGTGTCTTGATCTTTATTTTAATTTTAATAATGCTGTTATGTTATCTTGTCCTTTACGTTTGCGTAAACCTCAATTAAAAAATAAAATGTGCAGATGTTATCCTATCAAGTCAACTGTCGTTCGGTAGTATGATAAGCAGTGGACAGACAATTTCCCGTTTCCTTTGCATTTTGGGTAAAAGCACAGTTAAACGATACATATTATTATGTGATTGACAACCAGGGTTTCGACGCTTGTTTTAAATAGTTACAATAGCAATTTGCAAAGGATGATTTTAGACGATAATACTAATACTGAATAATTGTTCAATTTGGGAAACTTAACTAAATAATTTGAACTCTGTTTAATTTTTTATCTAATTTTAAGGCGCAGTCAAAAATTATAAAGCGCTGAAACTCTAGTTTAAAGTTTATAATATTATAAATATCGATACAATCTAAGCATTGCAGCAAAATCAAGAACAATTGATAAACTGCTATATTGCAGAATGTATATTGTAGTATATACTCTCTTAACGCACCTGATCAGAAAAGTCAACACTTTACATGTATTTCCTGTGCCGGAGGGAGATATGAAGATTTGTTCACCCAAGAATATTCATATTTCACGAGGGCTCTGCCCGAGGGAAATATGATTTTTCGAGGGTGAGCAAATCTTCATATCTCCCGAGGCAAACGGAAATGAATGTTTTATTCCACTGCCTTTGCTTTGTTTTCTATCAATACATTAAATATTATTTTGCATACATTTTTATTCTTATCCGCTTGTTTTTGAAAGTCAAACTAAACACGACATACCCCTTGATTAACAGTAAAGATCAAAATTTAATTATAAGTCTTTTTGTTTTATCGTGTGAAATAAATTTGAACATGATAATGATTTTTGCTATCGATATTTTAAGAAGAGTAAGAAGTTCAAAACGTTATGTACATTAACCGCGCGTAACGTCGCACGAAGTAATACCGACATTTCAGAGGGGAATATGATCCTCAGAATTGAATATGAAGATTTGTTCAATGACACGTGGGATAATCTCAACCAATCAAATATTGATTAAACTATCAATATGTTTAAACAGTGGAATAATATAATTAATTACATCCACTTCATTTGAAGTTTGGTGGATAGATTGTAGTCTCATTGGCAATCATACCACATCTCCTTATCTTTATATTAAACATTATTTTTACTTTAAGTCAGTGGAGCATAAATACATAGTTGGGTAAATGGTTGGCTGTTATCCCTACGGTTATTGTCCGCTTAGTTGTCAATTAACGACGCTAGCCATGATTCATTAATTATGAATATATTTCATACATTCTTTGATAATAAAATTTGTAAAAATCTAAAACAAAATCTAAATTACATCTCTCTTTTATATAGGCAAAGATGATAAAGGGAATTTTGACAAAAGTCTCCATACCTCTTTGGTTATTAAACCATCCATGCTTACGCTCCGAGTATGTACCTGGCAAATGTAAATCCAAAAGATGCAAGTTTTATACAACACTACAAATTGGCCTCTATATTAGTCTGTTCTGCTGTTCGAGATATAAGACTCATGTAGTTTATGTGCGTAGCTCTCTGTATGGCAACAACTCAAATGAAGGTCTATAGTTGGCATATTGCAAGGCCAACTTTAACTCCCATTCAAAATCACTCAAGTCTACCTACTATGTAAAGCATACCTATCAAGGTTTTTTGTTAATTAATAACCGTATTGTCAAGAATAAATATGAAATAATTGCGAGTTGACATTAGTCAGACAACAATCAATCAATCACAAAATCGTCATTTAAGGTTTATGCAGATGGTCTTAGCTATTTTATATCCCTTTTTGTTTTAAAACTCAGAGTGATATTGAGAATATTTGATGAAATAAAATCCAAAAATATTTTACTTTTATCACTTACTAGAGAAAAGGCATTAACAGATTTATAATATCATTAGTTAGTATTAAACCTTATCACATGAAATATATCAATATTCTATACATTTCATATTATTATGATAATAAAACTAATATAAAAATAAAAATCTTTCAAATCACACTAGGCCTATAGATATGATCTTAATATGAAACAACCATACAATTACACATTTTTATATATATGTTACAGTACAAATTGGAATTCAGTAGGATTTAAAATCCTCTTAGTACATATCGGAATTCCAATAACTTTTAGCACAAATTGGAATTCCAATATCTACTAGTACGAATTAGAATTCTGATTTATACTTATTGAAATTCAGTACGAATCAAAGTTTCAGTATCTACTGGTTGAAATTGGGACATGCAGATTTGTATTAGGAGGATGTTGGGTTGTACTAGATGATTACTAAAAAAGACACAATATAAGAAATATTTTGTTGTTTTTTTTATATTGAAATAAACTAGTATAATCAAACTTGTTTACCAAAATGAATAAGACCATGTTAACTTTTCAATAATGTCTCAAAATTAATATTCAGAGGACAATCTTGTTAATTGCGCAAAATCTGTTAAACTTAACATTATTCATGTTGAAGAGTCAAACGTTTTTGCTTTCCAAAATACCATCAACAAAATTTAACGAAAGTTTATGTATTTTACCATATTTTGTCTGTAATATAGTATTGCAAATGGAATTATATTACCATTTATTTTGATTTCTACTTGCAATCAAGTGCAATAGAAATAATAAATAATAATAAAAAAAAAATGAAGTAGAATCCAGAATCATACTTACTATTGTTTTCAGTAATATCCTGGATAGTGCTAGAAATTTAATACAATCCAGAACCCTCCTAGAACAATTCCGGATATCACAATTTCTACTAGCAGATATTTGAATTCTGATTTGTACTGGATTTCAATTAGTATAAATCAGAATTCCAATTTGTACTAGTAGATATTCTGGATCCTACTGAATTCCAATTGGAACTGTTACATACATGTTAACAAATAATAAACAATATGTCAACTTGGCATCACGTATCACACTTAACTAATAGTTCTTAATAGACCCTGTAATAAATATACAATCAAAAAGCTAGACAACAGTTTTTTCTTTCTTATTGAAATATCTTATAATATGACAGGTTCTGTGTATCTCATTATGGTTATTTTGAAAAAGATTACATCGATTTAAAGCATTACAGATTTAATCAAAGGTTACATGTTTCTGTTTTTTGCCATGATGTTGTAAATTTTGGTTGAACTGATGAGTTTGATTATTCCTTTTTTATCTTTCTGTTTATGTTCATTTCGCGCGACCAAAATAACAACGATATTCGCGAAATAAAATCATGACTTCATACCATATATGGCATTTTAATGCCTCTTGTTCAATTTGGATGTACGGTGATAAAAGGGTGTTGGTAAATCATTCACTGCTGTCATTATTATGTTTATCATTAACATTGTTATTTGTCGTAATAAAAAACTATCATAAAAGAGGGACGAAAGATACCAGAGGGACAGTCAAACTCATAGATCGAAAACAAACTGACAACGCCATGGCCAAAAATAAAAAGACTAACAGACAAATAATAGTAACTTTTTTCAAATTTTTCCTTCAACAATATGGCTTCATATTGTGAGCAATTAAAATAAAGGAATGTAGAACAATGGAATTTATTTTTCAGTGAAATTACCCTTTATAAATTTGTGAGTCTGAAGCACTTGTCTTGATTGACATTCTTCAGAAACGCTCAAATCAAATATTAAATAGCCAAAGATGCATAAATACTTGAATATTTTACGAACTTCATGGCCCAAAAAAAATCTTAAAAAATAGCCCAATCCTTCCAAGGCGAATTTTAAAGCAGCAATCATCATTTCGAAAGCGCATTTCTAGAATTAACTTCAAAGAAAATAACAATTGTTTTAAATTCAATTAATTTTAAGGATTCATTAATACTTGAAGACTTAGGGAGCTCTTTATCTAAAAGGGTCATAAAAAGAAAAGCCAACTCCGCATAAGTTCAACTTTGCCTAAGGGAAATTGAACCTTAGTTTCTTCATACATTCCAAATGTATCAACAGACAAGAATGGTAAAATACAGGTTAGTACCGTAACGTTCACTACGGAGCTGATAAAATCCTCGGGAACTAGCAGTACCGGCAGCAATATCGAATCAGTGCTAGAAAGGAAAGTAAGATTATGGATTTAGTGTGTCCGAAGCGCTTTCTGAATTTACCTTCATCAAGAAAGACCAAACCGAAACAAGTGTAGGTATCTGAAATACACAAAACCACAACAAAGACTTACAGAAAGGATGGAATTCGAAATAAACGAAAGCACGTATTGATAATGTGCTTATGATTTAGTTTTATATTTTGTCATCATTGTTTTGAAAAAGACACGTAGTTGCCTTCGCATAGCAGATGTTCTAGTAGTTATCCTTGTTGTAGGAGATTTTTTTTAATAACGGATTTTGTGAGCTCAATTTATGATTCAATTTATTAGATAAATTTATTATATAACCAATAGCATGTTTGGCATAAGATTAAAGTAGAGCTTATGTAAATAATTGTTGACATTCGCAAAATATAGTTTTGAGTTATAAGAAGGTATATGTAAATAAGTCCAAATTTGGAGGTGGATATCTGGAATATTTCAAATGTAAAGACATACATCAGAATGTGGATTGGGATCTACAACATGTAATTTCCAAAATCTGTTTGTACAACACTCTCTATAAGTCGCTCAAACATGTCATGGATAAGGTATTCACAACCCAGCAATAAGATGCACACAACAAGTCTGGTTTTAGATTTCTCATGAAGATGTTGAACAATCAAAATTACGCTGTTAAGACACAAAGGAAACACATAGCTCCTGATATTACAATTAGTGCATCAAAGAACGTTTTATTTTTTTTAACCTGTTCAATCACTGATAAAAAAAGTGTCTATATCAAAATATTTCGGACTTGTAAATGGCCATTATAAAATTATAAACATCAAACAAAAAATGTCAATGTAAGCACATTTCAATGTATCTGTTTTTTGTACAAGTAATAAAAGAAATATAAGAGATGCTGAATTCCTAGTAGATGTGGTAATATCTGAAAAAAAAAATCGTATTGTAGATTTCATTAGAACCACAAAATATGTTTTTGATTTAAACTATTTATGTTCTTTGTCTTACGCATTAAGATCCTTGTCTTCTATTTTAAAATTGACCGATCATAATCTACTTTACTCCCAGGTTTTGATGAGAATCGTGTTTCTCAATCTTGTGTTATTTGTGCAGTGTTTTGATGTTGTTGTTGTTTGTCTTTTACTTTTCTTTCAGTTTGGCCATCGTATTGTCTGTGTTTATATTTGATCGTTCTTTTGGTATCTTAACTTTCGTCCATTTACAACCAATTAAATAAAATAAAAGATGTTTCTTTGTTGATTAATTTTCACAGAAAACGATTCGTGAATTCAACAAAATGCGTCTCTTGTGAAAAATGAAGAGAAGGTACTTGCATACTGTGTGTTGAAATTATATTGAAACTACTAACCATTCCAAGATACGAGAATAAAGACTCGATACATAAACAGTAAGCTCCATTTCTGCGCAATTCCCCGATATTCTCCAATTTGGTCCAATATACTCATGTTTTTTCAAAATATTTCCTTTTTGGACTGAATCTGTAAATATGTCTGTGATATTAATTTGCATAATGCACATCTTTTGCAATACAATTTGAACCGTTAATGGTATTAAAATATTCGTGTTGGAACATTTTTTTTTATCGATTTTTGTACATGGCCTTTCTATGCTTGAAATGAATTATAGTTTCATGATCGTATAAAGTAAAACTGTATGCATTTTGAACCCATAAAGTACAACTTAGTAAGAAGAATTTTGTATAACCAGATGCATTAAATTGATTTATATTGTGCAAGAAAAAGAATATGAAACAAAAATGAAAGCACTTGTTAAAAAATTTGAATTTGAGAATAGTGCTACTACTACTAATAATAATGTTTTTTTTTATGATATATCGAACTCTTGTTAGTATGTATCATAAAAAATATTCGAATTTGAGAATAGTGCTACTTCTACTAATTATAATGTTTTTTTTTTATGATATATCGAACTCTTGTTAGTATGTTGATTTTCATTATTAGAAGAGGCATTGTTTACAGTTGTAATGTTTTGCATCAAGCAGTAACGAATTAACTATGGCAGAAATTCTGATATAAATATATAAAAAGGGAAAAAAGAGAAAAAGCGATAATTTAGGCAACAGTAGTTTACTGCTGTTCAAATCATAAGTTGATTGTAAAGACACAAATATGAACTCCAAATTAAGCGAGACTTGGTAGTTCGAAAAGGTTACCATATCCTGCTATGCATGCGTCACCGGCCATGTGACTTTGTCAATTGTAAATTTTCTATGTTGTTTGTTGTGTACTATTGTTTGTCTTTTCGTCGATTTTCATTTTTCCTATGGCATTGTCAGTTTGTTTTCGACTTATGATTGTGAATATTCATTTGATATATTTTGCCTCTCTTTAAATAAAATTACAGATAAGACGACTGTTCCTTAGTTAGGAATTACGGTTTAGAAATGAAAGTATGTCGTCTAGACACTTTTTAACAACTTGTTTAGATTCTGAGCGAATAAGTCATTTAGAGCTTGATACATATTACAGATAGTTGTGTAGTGTTTAAGAACGCATGTTGATCTCTAGATATGAATGCAATGATATGTAGGCTATTAGTCAACGTGACAGCACACAAACATTATAAAAAACCAAAACGACATTTAGACGTATTTGTTGTTTTGTGTATATTTTTGACTGATGTCTCATTTGATATAAAAAATACAGCAAATCTGAGGACTTACCTTGTTTGTATTGGATACCTGAGCTTCACAAAATTCCGTACAAACAACGGTACATTGTCGGCTCATCTGCATGTTCTACAAGGGAATTGTCCATTAGATTGACAAAAAACATATCCGCAGTGACAGAAGGTCTTCAGAAATACTGTGAAACTGTTTACTCGCGTAGTGGTATGACCCCTATGTGGATTCTAAAAAAAAAAAGAATTTCTGGATAATTTTAAATCTTGATCTTTCTCTGTAATTAATTCTATCAAAACCTTTGATTTTTCAATCCTTTATACCACCATTCCTAATGTAAAATTGTAAAATCGTCTAAAAGAGATAATCCATAATGCTTTTCAATATAAAAATGGTAGCATACGCTGTAAATGTATTGCTTTGGGATACCGTACGGCATATTTTGTTATCAGTGAACAAATAGGTAATACATGCTACACCGAGGAACAAGTGATCAGTATGCTGGAGTTTTGTTTTTTACTTTATAATAGATTTATAGCACTAAAGCTGTAAACAATGACCTTACTGCTACAAAGGAGAAGGTCCGGTAAAGGCTAGTTTTCTCCTTACATTCGAAGTACATCTGATGAAAGAGTTTTACCATTTTTTAAACACTTAAGTGTCTACTTCAGTCGATTAAATTAGTTTACGTAAAATATTTGAACTGATTTGGTCATGAAAGACGCTCAAATTCAAGTTTGAGTATGAAGATCTATCAAATATGCCATAACACGTCACATTTCAGATGTTTTTTGTCTAAAATGGAAGTGGCCGCATTCGTGTTCAGTCTCAACCTTTATATATATTATGTATGATCATCAAATACAACATATATGTAAATATTAAGACTGAACACAAATGCGGCCACTTCAATTTTAGACAAAAACCGTCTTTAAATTAGCACAAATGTCAAAACTGTGAAGATTTCAGTAATATTGCATGAATTTATGATGTTGTGTGGACGAAACGCGCGTCTTGCGTATTACATTTTAAACATGGTACCTTTTGTTAGCTATTATTCGTATGTTTCTCTGTCCTATATGTTCTCCCATTTATTTGTAGTGTAGTCCTGTCTTGTACTTTTGTCATTTTAATGTTATATTTAACATTGCCATAAAAGCGGGAGGTTTAACTAGCCACAAAACCAGGTTTAACCCACCATTTTTTTCTTAAAATGTCCTGTACCAAGTCAGGAAAATGGCTATTGTTATATTATAGTTCGTTTCTGTGTGTGTTAGATTTTAATGTTGTGTTTCTGTTGTGTCGTAGTTCTCCTCTTATATTTGATGTGTTTCTCTCAGTTTTAGTTTGTAACCCGGATTTGTTTTTTTCTCAATCGATTAATGAATTTCGAACAGCGGTATACTTCTGTTGCCTTTATTTAGTACCAGATGCATGTGCATTGTATTGTCAAAAACAGCCCGTATTTATAGAACAGAAGTATTCTTCTTTCCAAAAATGCTATATTTTGGGGCCAAACAGGAGTCTTATCGGACCTACTCCTTTAACCGTAAATTACCCTGATAATGTTAATATGCTGGAGTTTTTTATTGACAACATGTTTGTTGAATTTGGAGGTATACTTTTTCAACAAATTGTCGGCATTCCTATGGGAACGATCTGTGCGCATCTCCTTGTCGAGCTCTTCTTATTTTCATACGAGTCGGAGTTCCTTCAGACAATTATCAAAATTATGAGGATCTAAGAAGCCAGGTCATTTAATTTTGACATTCAGATATATTGATGAAGTTCTTTCCATTAACAATCCAAACTTTTCTGATTGGGTTCAATTAATATATCCTCAAAGACTAGCATTTAAAGAAAAAAACAGACACGGCTTCCTCTGCCTCACTTTTAGATTTATACATCGAATTTTACATAAGCGGTCATCTTAGTATCAGAATCTATGACAAACGAGACGATTTTAATTTTAAAATTATAAATTTCCCCCACCTTAGTAGTAATATACCAACTTCACCTGCATATGGGATATACATTTCCCAACTCATTCGGTATTCAAGAGCTTGCAGCTACTACTCAAACTTTATAAACGTCACCAGTGTCTGAGCAGAAAGTTGATGAACCAGGACTATGTCAAAGAACGTCTCGTCCTTTTTCTAAAAAAAAATGGTTCATCGGAAGATACCTAGACCTTGTTGATAAATATTCCGTATCAACTTCACAAATAATACATGATGATCTTGAAGTATAGATTCTAGGTACTGACCTTAATTATCATCTTAATTACGTGTTATAATGTTCTTTTTATTTGTCTTTGTATGTTTTTAACCTTTACTACTTAGTTCATTTTTTGTAAAATCCTTTTGGCGTGGCTCGGTATTTATACATCCCGTCATTATGTTATTGTGTTATGGTCATTTTTTGTATTCTTGTCTTTCATTTTTGCTGATGTGCTTTGTCTAAAGAATGTCTATATGCCATTTTGTTTTTCTTTGTTGACATAGTTTTTTGGTTTTTTTATATAGTGATTAAGATTATTACACAATTTTGACAGATGTACCCTAATTTTTGACATTTTTACCTATTATTTCTGTTTGTTTTGCTCACATATTGTTGTCAATCTAATGGAATGATATGCTTTACAATTGATAATATTAATGTCTTTAAAGATATGAATTTACTATTTAGATGTTAGTTAAAATGTCACAATTTTATGCGACTGTCATACAAGTGAGCGGTTTGGCTAGCTATAAAACCAGGTTTAATCCACAATTTTCTACATAAGGAAATACCTTTACCAACTCAGGAATATGCCATTGTTTTCTATTCGTTTGATGTATTTGAGCTTTTGATTTTGCCTTTTGATAAGGGACTTTCCGTTTTGAATTTTCCTTGGAGTTTGATATTTTTGTTATTTTACTGTTATTTACCTTATTACTGATATACTGTTTTAATGATACAATTGAATTTATTATATTTTGATAAAGGTTTATGCAGATGAGGTTTGGAAAATGACTAAAACAATTTTGATAGATATTGAAAATATTGTTTTTCCTACATTATTGATAATCTCCTTTTCGCACTCATTTTTAAAATTGGTCTTGAATTGTGCATACAAAAATTATAAATTGACTACTCACATACGGGTATAATGATTTGTCTTGTCAAAGTTGGTATCGGTAGAGTACTTCCTTTCTTCTTACTTCTGGTTGCCTTACATGTATTTCGCATAAAAGTTTTAAAATAAAAAAACAAATAAAGCGGATAAGGTTAACAAATAGGTAATATTTATATTTATCAATTGATTTGCAAATTATATGTGCAAGGACATGTACAAAATGTATATATGTCTTCTTCATAACTTTAAAATGACAACGATATCACTTACTTACATATCAAAATACTCGATTCGAATTTTAATTTATTAGAGATACAAACCGTCGATTTTGTAGTAAACACTGCGAACGAATTCATTAATTTCTCATGATCATTACATAGCATGGCAAAAGCACATTTCCTTTAAAAGAAGGAAAAGCGGCCTCTCTATCTGGCAAATTCAAGACAAGTAACAAGGATTTGTTCTTACATGAGCAACACGACGGGTGCCACAGATGAAGCAGGTTCTGCATCCTTCCGGTGCACATGAGATCATCCCCGGTTATCGGTTGGGATCGTGTCGCCCCGACTTTAGTTTACAATGTTGTGTTTTGTCCACTGTTGTTTATCTTTTAGTCCTTTTCTTTTTCTTTCCTTGGCGTATTAGTTTATTTTCGACATATGAGTTTGAATATCCCTTTGGTATATTTTGCCTCTCTTTTCAATTTTGACATTTTTTGAAAGAAAAATTTAAAAAAAGGATATGATCATTAAATTTTAAAAAATTACAACAATTCAAATTTACAAGGAATAGAATCATCGATGTCTAAATACGGTCTTTGATCATTAAACATTTACCATACTACAATCTAAACTTGCTTTTAACCGTTTAAGTCTGCAGACAAATTATTTAAGACGACAAAAATATACTATATTAAGACAAAATGGAAAAATGGAAAAATGGAAAAATACAATGTAATGATTCGAAAGATTTTCAATTGATTCTTAATGTGTGTTGTTACGCCTCAGTCTTATATAAGGGGAATGACTGAGTGCACACAGACTTGTTGACCTTCTTTTATTTGTCAATTTATATAATTTATATAAGTCATTTTAACAGGACACAACGATAACAATTGAACATATTAAGATTATGGATAGCATACATTAAAACGAACTATTTGATCAGTTTTGAGACTAAAACAGTTACAAAAAAGTACTTATCGGTATACATTTTGGCGACAGTTATAAGATGAAGTTAGCAAATGACAAAAACGAGATATTTCATTCATCGGTCGTTTTATATATGAATAAACGCTTTTTGTTTCATTTTTACATAGTTGATCATGAATGGTGCATTAAAATTCAAATGCAATAACAGCTAATGTTCGATTTCTACTGTCAACATTGTCATCATTAAACTGATTTTTTTAACTTTCTGCAGATAGCATTAGATTTAAGAATAAGTGTTAAAAAAAACTCACCTTCTCATATGTAAATAAATAAAAATCTGAAAGACGATTGTTACATTTAAATAGTAAGTTTCATTGACACAGATAATTTGATTTAACAATTTTATCTGCAAAGTTATATAACCTAGTGGTAATATATTCATGAAACCTTTATTGATAAGGAAATAGTCTTCTTACTTTCAGTTATATCAAAACAATCTTTATTTCTGATGTTAATCATTCATCGAGACACAATACGGAAATACATGTAATTATTTTTATGGCAAAGCGTACAGATGTTGGCTCATAAATTTATGTATTGAAAGAAATATCCTTTGTATTGGCAGGAAATAGGCCGCACTTTGTACTGAGTTCCTCCCGTGTTTAGTGGGCTTCATGTATCTGTATCTTAACTTTACTGCCAAACGTTGTGTGTTGTTTTGTCGATTTTCTTTTGGCCATGATTTTGTCTGTTTTTCCTTGACTTATGGTATATGATTGCCCTCTTGGCATCGTCTCCCTCTCATTCTTTGTGTTCTCATCTTTATAAAATTTGGAATTAATCAGTGTCAAATCCACTGAATATAACCAATGGAAAAAGACACATATCACACTATGAAGATATTTATTTTGATGGAGTGATAAACTTTACTGATCATTGGGATACACGTAAAACGTATGTAGTTTCAATTTCAGTCGTTCTTAATAAGAACTCTGTTGGAGCAGATTTTGTGTTAGGAGCACATAGTATATAGATATAAGAAGATGTGGTATGAGTGCCAATGAGACAACTCTCCATCCAAGTCAAAATTTATAAAAGTAAACCATTATAGGTCACAGTACGGTCTTCAACACGGAGCCTTGGCTCACACCGAACAGTAAGCTATAAAGGGCCCCACAAAATTACTAGTGTAAAACCATTCAAAAGGGAAAACAAACGGTCTAATCTATATAAAAAACGAGAAACGAGAAACACTTATGAACCACATCAACAAACGACAACTACTGAACATCAGATTCCTGACTTAGGACAGGTGCAAACAAATGCAGCGGGTTTAAACGTTTTAATGGTACCAAACCTTCGCCCTTTTTGCCCGCTTATAAACTCCATACAGTGTGAATATGCATGGGCGTAACGATGGAAAACGGCAAAAAATCGGCATTTTCCTTCATTTTCACGCATTAAAAATCATTCGTTATAACATTGAAAATATACTCATTATTATCATTAGTTGTATTATCAAGCCAAAGAGAGAAAATATTAACCCTTTGCTATGTTTATCCGTTATCGACAATTCCATGCATGATACGCTGAGCGCTCAGGATCATGTGTTACCTCGCCACAATCTGTATTTTTCCTGTAAATTGTTTCACATTTTGTCATGTCGGGGTCTTTTATAGCTGACTATATGGTATAGTTTTTTCTCTCACTGTTGAAGGCCGTACGGTGACTTGTAGTTGCTTACATCAATGTCAATTGGAATCTGATAGATTGTTGTCTAATTTTGACAACCAAACGAAGTCTTCTTATTTTCATATTGAGAGAGAAATAACGATGGTATATTCAAATTCGATTTTTGAAAAAACAGCTACAATAAAAATATAAGTGCATTTTCTGATTTTTACACTTCTTTATCATTTAAAGATAAAACGTTCAAGCACTGTTAAATATAATTTAGCATATCTTTATGTTTTCAGTAAATACTTAATTAAGGCATTATCTATTCTCATAAATCGACTAGGAAGACAAATAAGAAAATGATGGAATAACATGAACTCCAAAAGGATCGAGACTGGGTGTTACGACAGTGTAGCATGACACTTAAATCAGTTGATCTTGATTTATTGTCAAAAAAGTTGTTGCTGCTCAGTACTTTATTTTATATAAAGATATATATATATATATATATATATATATAAACGCCTAAAAAGTGTACACAACAACACCAATAACAAAAAAAAGGAACTATAAATGTAATTATTTATAAATATTTCGGATAACAGATATCCTTCATCAGTAAATATGATTGTGATGTTGAATGAATCATATATCAGTCTACTTAGATTAAACTATACCAATCTTGAAATTTATACAATAAAAATGTCAAACCGAACATCAGGTAAGACGCTTGCACAATTCTAAATATGTGTTAAACACGACATAGGTTATATGACTAATTACAACAGAGAGTTCAAATATATGCTTTAAATAAAAATAAAAATGTGCGATATGAACTAGCACAATTCTAAAGCTTTAACGGTGACGACAGTTATGATGTTACAAGAACGATTGCGTCAATAAGAATTCCAAATAAACAGCACTGAACGATCTAAATTTGTAAATATTTCAAATTTGACGACGGTAGAGTAGTTGCAACAGAGTCTGCGTATTTAAACATCGCAAACAAACGGCCGTTAAAATATAATAATAAATTTTGACTAAGGTTAACTAGTTGAACGTGGCTTGGTACTTTTACATCCCTCAAAAAATTAAGCAATTTAAATTGGTATATTCAACAGATTTATTTTAGAGATGATTAAGGTAAAGAAATAGAAACAGAGACTGTAATAAAAAGTAATATTACCCAAATGTGAAGCACTGCATGGAGTCGAACTACATCTTTTCATTTATCCCATTTGGTGCCAAAGTTGTTAATTTTCTTATCCAAAATCTTTCCCGAGTGAGTCTTTCCTCCCTAGACCAAGCAGAGTTGTGGTCAATGATTGTAATGGTCAGTCGATTGAGATCTGCCTTAGTGTGGCCAGGGGATCTCAAATGTCGACTGAGAGGGAGGTCTGGCTTGCATTGGTAGTATATATATATGTAGGACTCTAAAGTACGATGGGGAAGCTAAACCGCGATGGTCACGCTAAAGTGCGATGGCCTACGCTAAAGTTCGATGGTTTGATACGCTAAAGTGCGATGGTCTGTGCTATTCATTTGAACACGCTAAAGTGCATTTTCCGCAAAAGTATCGATCTTAGCAACGTTAAACAGCATTATGACGAGAATGTTTGTCAAGATTAAGGGTTTTTATTACCCAAAAACAGAAAGAAAAGAGAAACAAATGATCACAATCTGGAATATTTTTTTGGTAGTTGCTGGAAGAGGTTATCTTAATTTGTAAAATTGTAAAAAGAAATTTAATCAAAACAGCTGGGGTGCCAAAAAAAGTTTTCTTTTTTACTTTCTAATTGAATAATTCTATAAAAGAAAATTACAAAATGGTTTGTTATTTTTGTTAGATAATGAATATACCGCAACTAGACAGCAACCTAACGAACAGATGTGTAGTCACATCATATGATTGCCAATAAGACAACTCTCTATCCAAGACCTTATGTCATTAATGTATGCAACTTTATGTTACAGTATGACCTTTAACGCAGAGCATTGGCTTACACCACATAGTATTCTATAAAGACCAAAGGGCCTCAAAACAACCAGTGTAAAACAATTCAAACGAGAAAAATAACAACCTGATACAAAACAATACACGAACAGCAAATATGAAATATACCAACAAAACGACTACCACTAAATTCCGGATATACTAACTACTGTAATGTAACCATTACATTTTTGGACCACTATCGAACTTTAAATAAAAATAAGTAGATGTAGTATGAACTATCCATCCAACCCCAAATGTCGTTCATGTATGCAACTAATAATCATACGGCCTTCAACGTAAAGCATTGGCCCATGCCGCATAACAAGCTATATATAGTTATACAATGACCAGTGTAAAACAATTCAAAAGAGAAAGACTACGGCTTGATATATAAATAAAACAATAAAGAAAAAGTAATAGGAACTTAGCAGCAAACGAAAACCATTGCTTGAACCACATTCCCGTTACACCATCGGACTTTAGCGTGTCATACCATCGCACTTTAGCGTGTCATCTGATCGCACTAAAACAAAAAACAACCATCGGACTTTAGCGTCTGACACCATCGCATTTTAGCGAAGACCATCGGACTCTAGCATGACCATCGCATTTTAGAGTACCATCGCACTTTAGAGTCCTACATATAAATATATGTGTATAAACAAGTCTAAATTGAAAACAACGTTCAAACCTATGATTGCGTTGGATAAAAACCGCAATTTTTATACGTGTGCATGCAAAACAAATTATTTGGTAGAGGGGTCTAAATACAGCAGAAATAACATTTTCCAAAAGACCAAAAAAGTGAAAAAGTAAATTTTAACAAAACGCATTTGACTAGCAGGTCGAACAACGGATGTTCTTAAACCCTGCTGACTGCCATTGGCGATTGCCAAATAAACGGATCACCAGATGTAACAAAATGTATCTTAACTGTGTGTGTGTGTGTGTTTCTCGGTTACATCTTTTTTTGAAAGAAAGTTAAACACCTACCTTAAGTCGGTGTGTAAATGTCTGAAAGAAATTGTCACAGTTTAAAACACATTATTTTCGTAACAATTTATCTATGTATGAACATGCTTATACAACATATATAGATTTATATACCTTTAATTAATAATACATGCACATCATTTTCCTATTAAACCATTCAAACTGTAAAGATATGTACAAATGGCAGTCATTTTAAATGAGAAACATTCACGTTAAAAATCTTTTGAACTATTCATTAGTTTATCAAGGGTTATTAATCGTTCAATATTCTTGAATCATTTAATAATAAAGTTTATGTTTTTGTTGTGCTCAGTGCATTTTTTTTTATTGAACATCACCATGAAAGATCAGAATTGTAAGCTTGGGGAAATACAAAAAGAGAAATAAAAAATAATCAATTATGAAATAGATGCAATTTTTTCATTTGCTTTCAGCCAACAATCAGCGAAGTATTGATATGACTCTGTTAGCAGAAATCGTTGTGGAATCGAGACTTAAAATAGCACTTATGTATGAACAGTTTCAAACCATGATAGGGTTAACAAATTCCAAATGTCAAAAAACGCAAGAAAGTGACGATCCAGGATCCTCTAGGACTGGCGCGAAATATATAATACTTATGGAGTTATTGATTAATTCCTGGAAAATATTCTTGAGAAAATGAATAAGCTAATGTAATAACACGTTTTATTTTTCATCGAGAATCTTGTAATCGCCGTTGTTATATATTTATCAGTCAATTGTGACAGCTCGTATCCCTTCACTTTTCGGTTGTGAGAAGGAGATGTGTGTATTGACAACATGCAAAAGTTAAATATTTAAAAACCCGTAAATGCAAAAATTTTCAAACTTGATCATAAGATAACATTTCTATTGTTCAAGGGTCCAATGCTGTTAATAGGGGATACAATTGATAAAGAATAATTACTTGAAATATCTGAGCAAGAAAATGTTCAACCTTGGTACTACACTACAGGTCCTACATTTAGTTATATTGAATCCATAATTGTTCAGTAACTTTTGATACAAATATTTCTTAGTACAGGTCAATGACAGCCACAGAACATTTAGATCATTTTGGAAAAAAAAGACTTGAGAGATATATATTGACCACAAGTGGAGTGTTTGAACAAACTAAATTTACTGCAGTGTACATTTATGTTTTAATATTGTCTGAATAACCCACTTGCACATCATTTAGTCAGTATTAAAATCATTTCACACCAAAATTGTTGTTACAGTCTATAATCTATTTACAAGTGAGATATAAGTATTTACAAATTTGTATAACAACAGCGAAAGTGTCATGTTAATAATGCTTAAGTAGGCTACATTTAAGAATGACTAAGACGTTTTTGATTATGTGACAGTACTTGTGGTCTCCAAAGGACATTTTGTGGCAGATGAAGCTTTTAAAAGAAGGTGACCTATATAAACTTCTTCTCAGAGAAGTAATATAATGAAATAATTAGATATTTACAACGTTGAAAATTAAATGCACAAACTATTAAGCCAAATGTTTCCGAAGCGTATTATATTTTAAAGATTCACTCACAACGATAACTTTCGTATTTTTTAAGAATTATTCCTTAACCTTCGACAATAATACTTATTCACTAGTGATGTTGTGGTTGTTAATGGTTGCAATATTAGCGTACACTATTTTTTTTTAATAATAATAAAATCAACAATTGGAAAAACTATGCAAATATTGAGATAATATTCTTTAAAATCGACACGAAGGTTTAGTTATTTTATATACAATCAGTGCACATTCAAAGGTCATAGAAAGGACGTGAAAGTACATCTATCTTGTTTACGTATAGATTTTGAACACGAACTGTAAATGCGCTGTATGGACATTTATATTATATTATATTTATATTTACTTAGTGAAATAAATGAAATAATGTTGACGACAAAAGAAGGAAAGAAATGAAAAAAATAAACACTAAATAAAACAAAAATTTCAAAAAATTTCAAACAAAACAGTGAGTGTCACTGGTATATTTCTGAACAGATTTAAAAATAGCAATATTTATATCATGAGAAGATAATCTGTTTCCAAAAAGTAATAAGTCAATATTTATGTCATCATTATCACAACAGTTGAGTAAATGGAATCAAGTAAGATCTGTTTTACATGATTGTACCTAGGGCAAAAAGAAAAGAAATGCTGGTTATCCTTATCAGGGTGATTCCAGTTTGAACAAATAGTATTCTCTGATAAAAATTGATTAAACTAATGATATTTTAGGTTGCTAGCATTATTTCTAAGTTGACAATGACTAATATTATGTTTCCTTATCCCATAATTAAAAGGTTTAAATATTTCACCAGTCCTATAAAATTTGTCTACCTCTAAATATACACAAGCTTTGGGATGTTTGTATACTTAGATATTCCATAGTCTTATATTGGAAGGAATGAAACTAATAAAGTAGGAGCTAGTTCTAGCAAGTGGGAGTGAAAAGTATTATTTTCATTCCTCAGAGTATAAGGGGTTTGTCTGGGAAAATATAGCTGGACTAACTCATATAAGTATGCAGGTGTCATCCCATTTAATATTTTTAAAACTTTATTAGCTTATGTTTATTTCGTCTATTCTCCAGAGATTCTAATCCTTATTCAATATAAAGTTTATGTCTTGAGGAATTACGCCGTAGTCCAGTAATAATTCTAGCAGCTTCTATTTTAATATTTTCAAGAAGCTCGGACTCATGCTGAGAGCAGTTGCCCCAAACAACATCAGCATACTCTAATATAGGTCTAATAAAAGCATAGTAAATATGTATAAGTGAATTCCTGTCTAATAAATGTTAAACTTGACGATGTACAGATAAAGGAGAGCATGCTTTTTATAAATATTATCAATTTGTGTGTTCCATGAAGCTGATTGCTGAACTGTTATTCTAAGATGACGGTGATTATTTATTTTTCAACTTCTTCACCATTAATCCCAAAAAAATACAGATGGATGCTCCTTTTGCCTTCTAGTAAATACAATATCATGAAATTAAGATTCCAAATCCCCCTGGCAAAGTTGACCTTTGACGAATTTATCTATTCTGTTTAGGTTATAGGTCCTTACTGTCGCATAGCTCCGAACGTGTCTACGTATATATAAATCCCTGACTTCAACTGTTCAGGTTTAAGCGTTCCCAATAAAGGTAAATCCAGAAAATCGCAATACGGTTGACGATTGTTAATTACTTGTGTAGGAAATATGCGACGGAAGTATTTAAATTGTCAATTTGTATTCAATAACATTCTTTAAATTCTTTTTCCTGGAATGTAGTACTGACATGAGAACATTTAAAGGCAAATATGTTAAGTCGTTGATATATTTGGACGATAAATGAAAAAGACTTTTAGTCCCAAGTCAGAGGTCTGTAATTCAGTGGTTGTAGTTGGTTGCTGTCTGTCATATTTGCATTTCATTTAATGTTTTAGAATAAATCAGAGTGTTAATTGTTTTCATATTTTGTCATGTCGGGGCCTTTTATAGCTGATATTGCGTTGTTCATCGATGAAGGCTCTACGGTTGCTTACATCCGCTGCATTTGGACTTTTGTGAGTAGTTGTCTCTTTAGCAATCATACCACATCTCCTTATTTTTATATAGACTGGGGTTGTTTCAAAACTTTAGATTTTAAAAGGGCACTTGTCAATCATCGAAGCCGTGTCTTGATCTTTATATATATATATATATTGATAATGCTGTTATGTAGTCATGCCTTTTATGTTTACCTAAACTTCAATTCAAAAATATTGTGCGCAGGTATTATACTGTTCAGCCGACTGTCGATCGGAAGTCTAATAAATTTTATTATGTGATTAACAACCAGGGTTTCGACGCTTGTTTGTAATGTTCGCATTAGCAATATCCCTTTGGTATTTTTCGCCTCTCTTTTCGCAAGGATGGTTTTGGTCGATGTTGAAATACTAATACTGAATAACTGTTGAATTTGGGAAACCTCACTAAATAATGTTAAGCCTGTATAATCTTGATCTAATTATTAAGGCCCAGTTAAGAATAATTCAGTTCTGAAATTCTAGTTTTAACTTTCTATTAGTATAAATATCGATTCAATCTGCAAAGTGAAAAGTGAAAAGTGAAAAGTATTATCCCTTCCCATAAGTTCAAAAGGACACATGGTTTCAAATTATAGATTAAAGGTATCAATAGACAACCGGTGTTTATATCTTATACATCCATTAAGAAGATAAATTTGTTATTTCTATATATGAGAGAGAGAGAGAGAGAGAGAGAGAGAGACGGAACTGTTTAGACAGATATATGCCTCTCCTGCGTTTCCGCAAAATCAAGAACATTTGATAAACTTTTATATTGCAGCTAGTATATTCAAGTTAGTTTCACTTTGTAAGTAATTTCTAAACGCACCTTATCAGATCCGAAAAATCAATATTAATCAATACAGTAAATTCGAGTCAGTAGAGCATAAATGCATAATTTGGTCAATGGTTAACTGTTTTCCCTATAGGGTATCGTCCACTTAGTTGTCAATTTAAGACACTAGCCATGATTTATTATGAATAGTTTTCATAAATTCTTTGATGAAAATTTGGAAAAATCTACAACAGGTTTGATTACACCTTTCTTATATACAGTATAGGCAAAGATGATCTAAGTTAATTTTGACAATAGTCTCAATGCCCTTTTGGTTATTAAAAAATCTTTGCCTCTGCTCTGAGTATATTCCTAGCTAATGTAAATCCAAAAGATGTGCACGTTGAACACAACAAAACAGATTGGCTTTAGAGGAATTTAGACTCTCCCTCAATATTCGTCCAGTCGGTTGTACGAGATCTATGACAAGTGTAGTGAAAGTGCATAGTTATCTGCACTGCAAAAACTCTCTTACCACTCAATCTACATAATTTGTAAAGCCAACCTAGAATTCTTAAATAATTATCAAGTCCAGAACATGTATGAAATAATTGGGAGTTGGCATTAGTCAAACAACAATCCATCAATAAGTTGTCATGCAAGGTTTATGTAGATAGTCTAAGCTATTCTATACCCCTTTTTGTTATAAAGTTTAGGGAGATATTGAGGATATACATACATGTTTTACCTTTATCATTTAGTAGAGATAACCCATGAAAATCTTTGTAACATCATTTGTTAGTACTAAATCTAATTATATTAAACACAACAATATTCAATGTAAACATTTCATATTAATACGATAATAAAAAACATAACTTCATAAAAATAAATACATATACTTTTAAATCACACTATCTCTACAGATGAGATCAATATGAAATAACCATATAATTATAAACTTTCATATATATGTTAACAAATAATAAACAATGTATCACATTGGCATCATTGATGACATTTAAATAATTGTTCTTCATAGGTCCTGTAACAATTATATATATAATTTGTCTCAAATTTAGCCCAACAATATTAGATCTGTAAATTTGAGTATATATAGACATGATTGCATAATCTAAATGTTCGACAACAGTTTTTTGTGTAAAAATACCTAATTATATGATAGATTCTATTTGGTCATTCTGGTAATGTATGGAAGAAACTCAATTCAAAGCAGTATAGATTCAAGCAAGGCATACATATCTTCATGTTGGACCCACATAACAACGATAGCTTTAAACTAAAATCATGGCTTCATCCCACATACGGGGACTAACATTTAACCAGCAGCGATATAGACTCAGTGCTAGAAAAAGAAAATAACGCTTAAAGATTTAATATGTCCTAAGCGCTTTCTGAATTTACTTTCATCAAGAGCGTTTTCAAACAAAAATGTCTAGACTACGCCCGTTTATGCTGTACGTAGATAGTGTAGAGGTCTAGGCGACAAACAATGCTTACAAAAGAATGGAACACGTAAAAACTCGAAAGCACATAGTGATAATTCTTTGGATGATTATTTTCATGATTTATCACCATTCTTTTAAGAAAAATGTCATTGCTTATCAAAACAGTCTCTCTGGTAAGTATTCTGTTATAGGAGATTTTTTTAATACCGGGTTTTATTTTAGCTCAAGTTGTAATTCAATTTAAAAGAAATGACGAGGATTATTATGTGAAATCACAGAAAAGACAAAATGTGATGCAAAAACCTAGGCAGTTTGAGTAACTGTTAATTTCTTGACTTCAGAGTTATACTGGTCTTGCACATACAGTGTACTACTGTGAATTGATTCATATATTGCTGTTACTTTAAGCAGTTAAAACATTGCTTGAATCTATCTTACAACAGAATATCTTCAAGTTTGGTTAAAACGCATACAAATAATGTGATAACTATTTCCCGAAATCTTTGTTTGTCTCTCCGAATCCTAATAAAAAAAGTTTTGATCATTTGGAAATTGATGTTATAGTTAATATATAGTTCATAGCTTATAAGGCATACGATTAGGATAGAGCTTAGGCAAATAATGGTTGTTATTGGTGAAACAAAGTAATGAGTTATGCAAAAGTATATGTATACTAGTCCCAATGAAGATGTGGATATCTGGAATATTTCAAATGTAACAACATACATGAGAATATGGATTAGAATCTGCAATATGTAGTTTCCATAATTTGATTGCACAACACTTTCTATAAATTGTTCAAACATGTCATGGATAAGATATTCACAACCCAGCAAAACGATACACACAAAAAGTTTTGTTTTTGGTCTATCATAAATATGTTGTGCAATACAAACTGCATTCATGGTTAAGATGTAAAAGAAACACAATACTCCTGATACTACAATAAGTGGATTAAAAAACGTTTCAACTTTTTTAACCTGTTCACTCACAAAGAAAAATATGTCTGCGTCCAAATATTTTGGACTAGTAAATGGCCATAATAAGAGTATAAACATCAAACAGAAAATGTCTATGTACAAATGTTTCAATGTATTTTCTTCTTGTACAAGTAGTAAAAGAAATATCAGAGATGCTAAAGCCCAAGTTGATGTAGTAATATCTGAAAACAATGAAAGTGTACGTTTATTGGACCACACAATTATTTTTTATCTAATTACATATATGTTCTTGTTTAATGCATTAAGTTCCTTCTTTCCTATTATAAAATAGACCAGTCATAACCTATTATACTCTTTGTTTTAGTGTGGTTCATGTTATTCAACCGTTTTGTTATAGATGTTTGTATTTTCGTCGTTTTTGTTTTTGGCCATGGTGTTGTACGTTTTCATTGGACTTATAATTTGTTTTCTCTCCGCTTGGTAATTTCTCTCTCGTCTATTTACAACAGATACGATTAGAATAATAGACGTGTCTTTGATAATCAATCTTCACAGAATATGATGCGTATGTATACACAAAGGGTGTCTTTTTTTTGGAAAACAAAGAAGAGGATACTCGCATACTGTGTGTTTGTCTTGTGTTAGAATTACCCACCTTTCCATACAACGAGAATAACGAGTTGATACAAAAACAATAAGTTCCATCTCTGCGCAATTCCTCGATATTGGTACACTATATCCATTTCTTTTAAAGATTTTCTAATGTCTCACTTTTAATTGAATCTGAATATATTATAGAGATATTAATTTGCATATTGAAATATTTTTGTTTAAAAAAAAACCCATATTTGTGGCATTCTTTTTCTATATAATTGAATGCTTATTCTGAATGATTAGTACAACAAATATATTTCAAATATCATTAATAGTTAGAGCAGTGTATCGAGAAAAAATATCCAATTACTTTTATTTTTTAATTGCCAGTTGATGTTAACTATGATTCTTGTAATAAGTTTAACTATATAATTTCTTACATGTTATATCTAGAATATCGAATGTTAAATATATACAAAAATTATTTAGCTAAAATATGAATTTGCAAAATCAAATTATTTGTAGTAATTTAATGCTGATTTTTATAGTTACATTTTCTCTTGCATAATTTAGTAAAATTCCCTCATAGAAAAATTGTTCACCGTTTTATTAAATAAATACCATTGAGACGACAATTGATATTAAAAAAAAGCAAACAAACAGTCCAAAGAGGAAACTAGCGGCAACTGCTAACTCAATCAATGAAAAATCAATGAAAAGAAAAAATAGATAACAAAACGTAACTTAAAAATTGTTCAATAAATAAAATCGTTTTAATAAACAAGTATTTATCTTAAACTCCACAATACACTGCGCAATTAAAAATCACTAACTGATGCCATATCATTGATACAATGTACTACCAACTTTGCTGCACTATAAGCCCATTTCGACAATTAATCTATCGTAAGGTGGTAGACCTGAGTTATGGGAGACAACTCTTACAAATGTATTGGAAGTCATTTTTCGTTTTAACTTAGCACTAATTTAAACAGCGATATAAAAGATTGAGAATGGAAACTGGAAACGCGTCAAAGAGACAACAATCCGACTAAAGAGCAAAAAACAGCCATAGGCCACCAATGGGTCTTCAACACAGCGAGAAAATCCTGCACCAGGAGTCGGGCTTCAGCTGCCCCCTAAACAATAATGTATACTAGTTCAGCATTTATGTTGTTTACATTTAGTTTTGAAGTAACATAGAAGTATTTAAGAAAATTGGACAAGTTTGACTCCTCCAAGCATTAAATTGTATATTTTTGTTTTTTTTGAAGATTCGAAAATCAAAAGCTGAAAATTAACATTCATATATTTGTACATGAAATGGTTTTGAAAAATAAAATTATGTACTAAGGAGTTTTTTGAATGACTCTTGACATCATTTAGGGGTTAAAATCTTTGGAAGTTTGAATAGGGAAACAAAAGGATTGAATAATGAATTCATAAGTTTATAGGGCTAAGCTATTGGTTGATAGGCTGAACATAACTGTATGTCTTTGCTTTTTTTCAAATACAAAAGACAATTTTCAAGGAGATATAATCTGAACATTCATCCTTGTACAATCTAATGCTAACAGATAACCTACATTAACACAATGATAGTATTAGATAGTGACAGATTGTCACAACATTGACTTCCTAAGGGTAACTGGAGATTAGAAATATGGTCACTCTCCGTCTTCTTCCGACCGACAGTAGAACTCTTCCAAAGGGGGGTCAGTTTGGATGTGCAGGATGCACAAGTACGCAGCCACGACCAGTCCAGAAAGAGGACGTTAAATCCGATGCATCGTGTAAAGAGAGTGCCACGCTTTTTGCACGTTAAAACCCCTTGCAACAACTCTTTGACGTGTCCGTACGTGGTCTGTTGCAAGTCTAAATTTCAGACCCTATCCAATATACCATCTTTTCCCCGACCTTCACCCCAGACGGCCCCTTTTACCTATGTTATTTTTTGCTAATTTAGTCTCGTCCTAAACATACATGACATATTTGCCACTGGACGTTAAGCAACCATCAATCAATCAATCAAAACATTGAATGAAGCGTTTGTTGACTCGATGACAAGAAACATTTTGTAGTCTTTTGGAAGGAAACCAACGTTATTATTAAGTTGATATGTCAATTCGTCCCAAGGTAATCGTCCCTTGCTGATTATTGCTGTTTTTTCTTATAAACTTGAGTTCAGTTATTATTGGGACAATACAATTTTCACTCAAGAACACACGAAAAATGCAGACTGCAGACGGTTTTTGATTAAAAAGAATAGTTTTATGAACAATAATTGTTTCAGCAATTTTTTGCAGGAATTAAACGATAGCATTTTTTCTGCAAAATAAATGTGTTATCTGAGCTGGCCAGAAATTTCGACTTATTCAATAATTTTCAACCATTTATTTACATTCAGGCTACAAATATTACCATAACATTCCAGATTTACTTTATGTTTCTACTACGAACAGTCATGGGTATTTGTAATGAGAACATGTGCAAAAACTTACGATAATACAGACCTACAAGTGTTTTCATACGTTTTTAGGGTACTCCAAAACTGATCATATTCAATATACCCTAAACCTAAAATGCAACGATGAATTTCAACAAGACTTTGGCAGATGGTACATGAACCCCTACCTTTTAAATAGCGCAAAGATAAGAAAAATTAAACGAGGGGAAATTTTTGAGATTATCAAGGCATACTCCCTTACGTAATGCCCTAGGCCACAATATTTCAAAAACCACAACTTTCTTCAAAAGTTAAAGGGCTGTTAGTAAAACACTAATTCTTGAAACTTATATCTTTAATTTGTTTTGATATCTACATTTCAATAGGAGGTTGCGATTACTATATATTTATACAGAAAACCTACAATTTGTTTGATTCAGTTAACCAATGTGTTTCCAAACCCAACCATTCTTCTAATATGGAATATGTGGTCTGACAAATTGCTAAAGTCTCATGTTGTAAACAAGAGTAAAGAAACACTAGTGAAAAAGTTAGATTTTTCTAGCATTCCTAAATTATTTTTTTTTGAAATTGGTTACGAGAAATTGAGGATTTTATTCTACATTTGGACATGAACAATGTGAATTATGATGGCATCAACAAATTGTATGAGAATTGTTTTAGATATAAAAATAAAAAAACGAAATGAACGACTGTCTAGACTACAAAATTGTGAAACTACAAGATGGACATAGTACCAAAATGAGGCGCACAAAGAAACCTAGGTGGTCTGATCGTCTTACGGTTCTTTGGAACAAAGTCTGTGAAGCGGAGAAAGACGTGGTAAAGTGTAAGATTACGTCGAATAGACGCGAGTTTAAAAATGTGTTCATTATGAAAAGGAAAAACTTTGGCAGAGAAGCAAAACGACATTATTGGAGAAATAAAGTGTTAAGAATTGATGATCTGGAAAGGGGTTATTAACGCGATTTCTGGAAAGAATTGGCCGGTCGGGGTTGGAAAAGAACGACGTAAACTAATTTCAATGGAAGTACAATTACCAAAAGGAGAAATAACGAATGATGAAGTCAGTGTACTTTCAGAGTGGAAAAATGCATTATGTGATTTATTAAATGCAAGCGATGACATTAATACATCGGTAACTTCAATGGAACTCACAAACCGGATATTGAATATGGAGGATTAAATGACCTAAATGATGAAACAAGTATTCATGAAGTGCAAAGAGCAGTCCGTAGCTTGAAAATGAGCAAAGCAGTCGGTGTGGATGAAATACCATCTGAACTTTTTAAATAAAGGCAACAGTAGTATACCGTTGTTCAATAGTCATAAATCGATTAAGCGAAAACAAATCCAGGTCACAAACCAAAACCGAGGGAAACACATCAATTATAAGAGGAAAACAACGGAACAATAGAAACACTGAACTGCAACAAAAACAAACGCCAACATACATAGAAACGGACTATTTGATAACAACTGCCATATTCTTGACTTGGTACAAGACATTTTAAGAAAAAAGAAATGGTGGGTTGAACCTAGTTTTAAGCTTTTCAACAAATGTTTTTTCGCAGGAATATTCCAGAGATTTAAGCGACATGAATTATAAACCCTGTTCCTAAATCGTCTACAAGAAGTTCTCGGGATCCGATAAATTATAGAGGGATAACGTTGGTTCCTGTATGTTATAAACTTTATTGTCATTGTTGAATAAGAAACTTACTGCATGTGAATCCGAAAATAACATTTTATGTGATGTTCAGAACGGTTTCAGGAAAGGACGCAGCACTATTGATCATGTAACATCGCTAACATCAATTATTGAAACCAGAAAATGTAACCGATTGTCGATATATGATTGTATTGATCGTAACATTTGATTTCGGAAACTTCAAAGTATTGTTATTCAAAGGAATATATATAACACTATTCTGTCCCTGTATAAAAGTGTGGAATGTTGTGTGCATATATATGGCTGCAAAACAGACTGGTTTAATGCGAGTTGTTGCCTGAAACAAGGCTGTTTATTGCCGTTACTCTTTAACTGTTACAGTAATGACCTTGCTATTCATTTAACATCTTAAAATTAAGGAGTTGACATTGGCGGAAAAAAGTTTCGGTGTTATTATATGCTGACGACCTAGTGTTATTTGCAAAATCTGAAAACGAACTACAAATTGTATTGGATTTAATGAATATATGGTGGGCCAACAATAAAGTAAATGGAAACAAGTCAAATGTCGTACATTTTCGTCCGAATTTCTCAACAAGATCTGCATCGATTTTTAAATGTGGAAATATACCTTTGCAAACAGTCGATAAGTATACATATCTTTGACCTGTAGTGTCGGAACATTTGGACTACCAGTTAATGGCTAAACATGTTGCAGCTGCCGCCAACAGAGCTTTAGGACTTTTGATATCGAAACAGAAAGCATTTGGAGGTTTTCCGTTTCGCTCTTTTTCCAAACTTTACGATTTGACGGTTTTGAGCACTATCAGCCGTGGAGCTGCTATTCCTGTACTAACGCTGTTCAGAATAAACCGATTCGCTTTTTTATGGGTGTTGGTCGACACGGCGATAGTCGGTGACTCAGTATGAATACCAGATAATGTGAAACAATGGAACAGTGTTAATAACCAGTGGTAGAGACTAAAAAACATGGACTGCGATAGACTTAACTTCAATATTTTCAATTGATAGGAACTTTGTAGCTTGAAC